TGATCCATTGTTCTTGGAGAAAGGACAGCAATCAGGGAGAGCCTGCTGCATCCTTCTTGCACCTTCTGTCTCCCTCACCTCACAGTGGGAGAGGAGTCTTTCCTGCTACTGAGGCTGATTTCCCTGCTATTGGCTCTGGCATCTTCCCACACTCCACACCCCCAGGTTACTGGTCAGCATTAGACTGGCTCTAGCCCCCCTCACCTCTTTCTGGTGCTCCTAGCCACCGCACACTTTTCTGCTCCCCACTCACAGCAAAACTTGACCAAACTGGCTACAGCCTCTGCCTGCATGCTGTCACGTCACATTCTCACCTCAGCCCACTCGAGTGGGACAGCACAGAAGTCACTCTCCCCCAGGCCATCCATGACTTCCAAGATGCTACACTAAATGGTTGCTTCTCAGTCTTTGCCCTACTTGACCTCTCAAGTAAGAGCTTAGCTTAGCTAGAGCTGACTGCTCTCTCTTCTTTTTTAAAATTTATTTTTTATTTTTAATTGACAAATAACGATTGTATATATTCATTCCGGCCAGCCGCCCCCTCAATTGTATATATTTATGGGGTACAATGTGATGTTTTGATATATTCATACATCGTGAAATGCTTAAGTCAAGATAATTAACATATCTATCACCTCACCTACTTACCTTTTTTTATTTTTATTTTTTAGTATCCCAACCTGGAGATACTGTGTGTGCGTGTGTGTGTGTTGTGTGTGTGGTGAGGGATTTTTTTTTTTTTTTCTTTTAAAGATGACCGGTAAGGGGATCTTAACCCTTGACTTGGTGTTGTCAGCACCACGTTCAGCCAGTGAGCTAACCGGCCATCCCTATATGGGATCCGAACCCGTGGCCTTGGTGTTATCAGCACCACACTCTCCCGAGTGAGCCACGGGCCGGCCCCGTGGTGAGGAATTTAAAATCTATTCTTTTAGCAATTTTGAAATATACAGTACATTTTTATTAACCACGATCACTATGCTGTGCAATAGATCACTCCTTCTTTGTGCACTCTCTTTTCTCGGTCTCCAGAACACCTCAACCCCCTACTTTCCCCAGTACCTCTCTGACTACTCTAGACTCCTTTGCAAGGTCTTCCTCCTCAACTGACCTTTAAGTGTTGGGGTGCCCCAGGGGTCCTTTCTCGGCCCCTTCTCTCTCCACACTCTCTCCCTAGGTGCTCCAGTGTAGTGGCATTAAAAGTCATCTGTCTTCCAATTACTGCCCCAATATTTACCCTCCAGCTTTGATCCCCGGCTTTCCATATCTCCATCCTAAGTGTTGACCTCCATTTGGGTGTCTAAGGGGGAATCTCAACTAACGTATTTAACGTATAATGCTTCTCTCCCTAAGCCTCTCCCCCGATCCGCGCAGGTGTCTCATCTCAGTAAAAGATACCACCATCTACCTGGTTACATAAGCCAAAGACCCAGAAGTAACCCGTTCATGTCCTCTGTCCACCGCCACCTCCTCAGTTCAAGCCATCACCATGTCTTGCCTACAAGATTGCTCCAACTCGGCAAATGAACCTCCGCTTCCATGCTCCACATAGCAGCCAAAGCAATCTTTCAAAACACGGGTCAGAGAGTGTGGTGCTGGTGACGACAAGGTCCCAGGTTCGAATCCCCGTACCGGTCAGCCGCAAACAGCAGCGACAACAAAAATCCATGGATCGGAGAATATGGCATTCCTGGCTATACCCCCCACTGGCTTCCAGCGACACTTAGTGCCAACTGTCTTTGAGAGCCTCCAAGGCCCTATGTATGTGATGGGCTATGCCCGACCCTCCCATCTCATCTCTGCGGCTCTCCAAAGTGTCCGTCCCAGGTTGGCTGTCCCTCTTTCTCTAGCTGCCACCAGCTAAGCCTTTCCTACCTCAGAACCTTCCCACTTGCTGTTCCCTTCTCTGGGACTGGGTTCAGATGTCACCTCCTTATAGAGGCTGTCTCTGACCGCCCAGGGTAGAGTAGCCACGACCGGTCCCCCACCCCCACCCCCATCCCCAGCCTTACAACCATCTGAAATTATCTTACATCATTTTCTGATTTCTTAGTTATTTTCTGTCCCCTCCACTATAATGTCAGCTTCAGGAGCACCCAGACCCCATGCACACCCGATGCCTAAAAGTACTTGACACATAAATATCTGCTGAGTGAATAAATACAGCAGCGGCGCCCACCGACACACAGATGCCCAGATTGTTTAGCCATTTCCTTCTGGGGGCCACTGTCACGGTTTAGAGCTGAGAAGAGAGTCGCTGAATTTGCCAGTCACTGACACAATCCGGAGACAAGACAGAGACCCAGCACTTTGGTCCAGATGAAACAGGCTAAAAGGACAGGGGACAGAAACCAGAGACAGGGACACAGACCCAGGCTGGACGAGTTCCAGAGAGAGATCGAGACAGACGAAGACCGAGGCCCAGGCTCGGCGAACCAGAGACCCGGGTCCCCAGCAGCCGCGGCCGCAGCTGGGGACAGCGCCAGGAGGAGGGCGCGGAGGGAGGCGGTGCGCCCGGCGGCCCGACGCGTGCGGGATCAAAGCGGCCGGGAAGGGGCGGGGCGGGGAGGTGACGGGAACCTGGAGGTGTGAGCGAGCTTCCCAGGGGACGGCAGGAGCGTGGGAGCGCAGAGAGTCCCGGAGAGACGGCGACAGCCCCGAGACCCGGAGACACCCAGAGACCGGAGAGACCCGGGGTAAGAGATGCGGAGAGACAACTGAAGACCCAGGGAGACCCAGGGCGGAGGTCGCTACGAGACCTGGAAAGAACGTGAGAAATACAGATGGAGACTCCGAGAGCCGCAAGGCCGGCGACACAAAAAGGCTCAGACCTGTGGGCTCAGGCAAAAGACGTGCGCATCCGAGAGAACAGAAAACCCGGGAGAGGAAGAGAAAACCCGGGACAGGAAGAGAAATGGGAAGAGCAAGGGAGTGAGAGCGTGTGGGGCGGAGACACCGCGCCCCTCCTCCGCGGAGGACCCGCAGGACCCCCGGGGCGGGGATCCGGGCGCCGCGTCCTTTCTCAGGGTCGCGCCTAGAGAGGTGCAGGTCGGGGGCGGAGGCAGCAGGACCCCCAGACTGGGAGGACGGAGGTGTGAGGACGTGCGGAATCAGGGTCTCTATCAGGGGCTTCAAACTCTGCGGAGCCGAAAGGGTAACACCATTTGGTAGAAATGTTTCAACACTGGTGCTTTTATTAAAGTCATCGACTGGATTATCCTGTCTCCCCTAGCGGATGAGAAAAAACGAAGTTCATTAGTGCATTGGCCGGGAATCGAACCCGGGCCTCCCGCGTGGCAGGCGAGAATTCTACCACTGAACCACCAATGCTAACGACGGCAAAAGGTCTCTCAATGACCCTAAGTGAGCTTGTAAGAGGATGAGGTGGCAGTGGCCCGGCAGACGGCGTAGGCAGGCCAGGGGCTCAAGGAAGGAGTGTCCCCAATGGTTGACGTGGGTGGAGCGCCTAGCCATCCTTCCTCCTGCCCGGATCCGGCCACCGGGCCATAAAGCCACCCCATATGGCCAGGGGCGGCCCCACACCCGGGTGCGAACAACCCAGGGCCCCGAGCCTCGCGTGCAGGTGAGAAAAACTCAGCCCGAGCCCAGGTTCCCAAGGGGGGGTGGTGGTGGCGGGGGCTGCTGGGGCCACACATCTGCGCTCCCATTTGGCCGATGTAGGGGGAGGTGGGTGTGCTGGGGGCCGTGATCCCAAATGGGAGCCCTCTCCTCAAGGTTTGTGCAAGGCAGGCTCTGTGAACACACACACACACACACACACACACACACGCGTGCGCGCGCGCGCCAAGGTGTGCAAGGGAGCTGGGAGGGCTTGGAGGAAGCCCCACTCACTCATCTCTGACTCCAGAGCTATCTTCTGTCTCGGTCTGTAACCCTGTCTTTCCGTGTTGTGGTCCCTACCAATCTTACTGTCTCCTTAAATTTCTGATTTATCTTCTCAGGCGCTTTGTCCTGAAGTCTCCCAGTGCTCACGCATAATTCTGCAGAGGGTCAAGCTCTTGTTTGAGGTGGGTGTTTATCTCTTTTTGTATTCCTTTCTTGTTCCTTTAGGAAAACTGCCTGCTCCCTGCTCCCCGGTCACGAGGGGGCCTCCAGAAGCAAGCAACACGGGCACACTTGTGTGAGGTGTCCGGTCAGGCGCACTCCTGAATCTCCTATAATTAGTTTTGAATCGACTACTGTACTTGTAAGTGGAAAATCTCTCCATGCTTCAAACTTGCTTCCTCTTCCTCGAAGCTCCCCCTGTCCCCCTCAGTCCAGCCATCCTCAAGGGGACCCTGTTTCCAGAGCACCTACTTCTCTCTGCTTCTATAATAGCTAATTGATGACACATCGTCTATTTCACTAGATCCTGCAGGGATAAGCTGGGCCTCTCCTGCGTATCTCAGTATGAACCGTCCAAGGCTAAACCAGTGCACTGTGCACACAATGACCGCGAAGATGTTGGGGGAATTGACTATAACGGACGTAGATAGAACAGAGCGCCTTTTCCATCTATAGGCAGAGCCCCAGTTGAGTCAGGAGGATCCGCCCAGCACACTCGCTTTGCTCCCTACCCCGACTAGGAGGCGAATTTTGGGGAAGATGTATAAATAAGATTGAGCCTGGGGGCTTAGGTTGCTAACTTTTATTTCAGGGTTAGCGGGGGTACAGTGAGCCTCTAAGAAAGCTGCAATTCACTTAAACTGCCTCTGCCCGTTGTAGCCTCCTCCCCTCAGCTGTGTCCCGCCTCATTATACAGCCTTATGGTCCTAAAACCAGCCGCTGCCCCCTTCGCCCCTCACTTCCCACACTCCCGGGCCAGTTCCTCTCCTTCCCCTCCCCCTTTCACTCCTCCCCTTTCCGGGAGCCTCGTGCCGGGGTCCTTGTGGGGTGGCATCCTGGTGCTGAAGGGGGCGGGGACGGGTCCTATCCCTCCTACCCCGACGCGGCGGGATATAAGGCTCAAGGGTAGCAGAGACCAGGTCCACGCCAGGGTCCGGAGGAGCAATGGTCACCCGGGATCGAGCTGAGAATAGGGACGGCCCCAAGGTGAGAGGCGGGAGGAGAGGGAGCAGAGGTCCCTCGTCCTGCCAAGGGAGAGGCTGGGAACGCTGGGCCGGAAGGGGAGACGTGCCCGGGGGACCCAAGCAGGCAGGAGCTGCAGAGGAAGCTGCAAAGTAGGAAGAAGGGGACAGGGTTAGAGGACCCCCCCGCGTGGGCGGCGGAAGCGGAGGTCTAGGGGCTTGGGCGATGGGGTCGGTACCTTGCGGCTCGGGGGGCGTGGGAGGGGACCAGAGTGTGAGTAAAATAAGCAAGGGGAGGACGGAGCCAAGGGAGCAGGGTGGGAGCAGAAAGAGGAGAGGATTGGCGCTCGCTCCGAGCAGGCTGGAGTTGCCTCTGCGCCAGCCCCAGCTCCGAGGGCTCCAGGCCGGGTGGAAGATTTGAGGAGAACCAGTGGAGAAGGCCGACGGCCTGGAGGGCTGGGGGGACAAGAGGAGGCGCGGTCGTGCCAGTTGTCTCCCTTTCTACACTCAGGGCCGCCAGCTCTGAGCCCCGCACCGTGCGGCCACGTGCCAGGGCGGAAAGCGGGTCCCCAAGGTTCTCCACTGAGACAGAGAGAGACTGCACGAGACGGAGACGTAGAGAGAAAAGAGGAGGAGAGACGCAGAGAGGGGAGGAGGGAGGACAAGACTGAGAGAGGAGGATGCGGAAGACCCGGGAGAGAGACGAGGCCGCGAGCTACAGAGAATGACTCTAGGGTCGTCGGGAGGGGGCGCGGAGAGGGCTCGGACGGTCCCGCCCCAGGCCGTCGGGTCTGGGGAAGGGGTGGAAGCGGGGCTCTCCCAGCGGCGGGATCCGCACGCCGGCGCGGCTGCGCTGAGTCGCGGTCCGGTCGGCCCGCTCTCCCTCTCCCGCTTGTCGCAGATGCTGAAACCGCTTGTGGAGAAGCGGCGCCGGGATCGCATCAACCGCAGCCTGGAGGAGCTGAGGCTGCTGCTGCTGGAGCGGACCCGGGACCAGGTCAGTCCCTCCGCCGGTCCTGGACTCCCAAGCATCCCGCTCCCGCCTCCCAGGGCTTCCCACCGGGGTGGGGACGTACGCTGGACTGGCGACCCTGGCCCCAAGGCATCCTGACCCGTCCGACTCCCGCCCTTGGGACCCCCTCCCAGACCCCCTCCCGCTCCCACAACGCGGTCTTCCCACCGCCCCTCGGGTCTGGAAGCTCCACGCCTGACTGTAAAGTGCGCTCCCGGGCCGGCCGGCGGCGCCTCTGGGGTCTCTGAATCTCCTCTTCCCCGCTCGGCGCCCCTCCCCGCCAGCCAGCTTCAGTCCTGCCGCGCGCTTCACTCCACTCCCTCCTCTCACCTCCGGCATTGGGTCCATCCCCTCGGGTTGGACAGTGTCATCTCGGGGCGGGCCAGAACCGTCCTCGGTCATTTCCAGTCCTCATTCGGTCGCGCGTTCTGTGGGCAGCGCGCAAATGCGACCCGGGGGCACCCCCAGCTCCCGCACCCGCCCCTCCCTTCTTCCCCCTGCCACTTTCCCCCTCTCTCCCCACCCCTTTCTGTCTCTGCGCCCTCCCCTCCCGCCTGCAGAACCTCCGGAACCCGAAGCTGGAGAAAGCGGAGATCCTGGAGTTCGCCGTGGGCTACTTGAGGGAGCGCAGCCGGGTGGAGCCCCCGGGTACAGCGCGGGGGTGGGGCCGCGGAGGGCGGGAGGGGACTCGTGCAGGATCTGGCCGGGGACGACGGGGCGGGCCCCGCGGTGTACGGCGGGCGTGGGGAACGGCAGTCTCTGCTGCTCCGAGGCGAGGTTAATAACACCCGCGCGTCTGTCTCTGTGTCTCCCTCATCTTCTCCCTCCGTCCGTCCATCTGGCTTCCCGTTCCTGTCCGTGCGTCTGTCCGGCCTCTGTACCTCTGCGCCCCTTCCCTTCCCTTCCCTCGCCCTTGTCGGGCCCCTGCCCTGCCCGCCCGTCCTCTTGCCGGCCGCACCCGCCTGCGCGGCTCCAGGGGTTCCCCGGTCCCCAGCCCAGGACGCCGAGGCGCTCGCCAGCTGCTACTTGTCCGGCTTCCGCGAGTGCCTGCTCCGTTTGGCGGCCTTCGCGCACGACGCCAGCCCGGCTGCCCGCGCCCAGCTCTTCTCCGCGCTGCACGGCTACCTGCGCCCCAAACCGCCCCGGCCCGAGCCGGTAGATCCCAGGCTCCCAGCGCCACGCCAAACGCTGGACCCCGCCGCACCGGCCCTTGGCCCCGCGCTGCACCAGCGCCCCCTAGTGCACCAGGGCCCCCCTAGCCCGCGCTGCTCATGGTCCCCAGCTCTCTGCTCCCCCCGCGCCGGGGATCCCGGCGCGCCGGCGCCCCTCACTGGACTGCTGCCGCCGCCGCCGCCGCCGCCGCCTCACAGACAAGAGGGGGCTCCCAAGGCCCCGCCGCCCCCGCCGCCCGCGTTCTGGAGACCTTGGCCCTGAGCTTTGGGGGTGTGGGGGCAGGGGCTGGGGACGGGGTAGAGACTCCAGCTCGAGGGCAGCAGAGGGACCCGGGCGTCCGGGAGAGGAGGTGTTGGGGAGGGCGGCGGGGCGCGCGGGCGCAGCGCGCGGGTGAGATGTGGTCTATATTAGAGTATCTATATAAATATATATTTCCCTGGTTCCTGTCCCTTTTCCCTGCCCCCTTTCCACTGCGTCTAGGATTGTACTCTCTCTGCCCCTGGCCCAGTCTCAGTCCCTTCCCAAGTCCCTAGTGCATGGAATAAAGTGGTTATTAAATCCCCATGTGTCCCCGAGCCAGGGGCCTGCCTTTATCTCGGCGTCCACGCCCACTTTCCCTTCCCTTCTGTCTCCCACCCCCAGTCTTGCTCTCCATGGCCCAAGCCCCGGGGCAGACAGGTAAGTAAAGAAGAGAGCAGAGCGGAAACTGAGGTTGGAACTGAAACGAAGTGGAAAACACAGAGATAGGGTAGGGGGAAAGGGGATGGGAGCCTTTAAGAAAAAGCCGGATTAAGAGAAAAGGTAACAAGTGAAATAAAACCGACTCTGGTGGGATTCGAACCCACAACCTTTGAATCGCTTGTTTCGTCACTAGAAGTCCAATGCGCTATCCATTGCGCCACAGAGCCACCTGGCGAGTGGCGGCGTCTGGTGACCTACGGGTATTAGCATAGGAAAGGGGGCGGGTTGGGGGAGTGTGTGTGAGGGAATTGGGCGGGTCGTGGCAGGAGCACGCGGTTTGGATCTCAAAGGGCGCAGAGCACCTGAGCCGGGTGGGAGTGAGGGCACGCATGTGTGGCAGAAACGGGGAGGGAGAGCGAACGAATGTGAGCGAGGGAGTGCAGAGCTGCGGCTGCCCGCTTACGGGGTGCTTCCAGCTCCGGCGCACCGCACTCCCAGATGTGGCCCAACCCAAATAAACTTGCTTCGTTGTACATTTCTGTGTGTCTGTTTCTTCCGGCTTATCTATGCTGCCATCTGCTGCTATGCAGTCCGGAGTTTAGATGGTTCCCTATTGCTGGTTTGAAAAATGTGGGAAAGGAAGACTGAACCTTTTGGTACTATTATCTTCGCCAGTTTTTCCGTCTAGTCTCTTAGGAGGACAATGGGGACACCCCACCTTCACCCAGGTAGCGTGGCCGAGCGGTCTAAGGCGCTGGATTTAGGCTCCAGTCTCTCCGGAGGCGTGGGTTCGAATCCCACCGCTGCCAGAGCAGGGTTTTTCTCGTGGTCCGGCCGAGCACTCTATTAATCCATGAAGAACACCCCTATCGTGTTCTCTTAATTTTTCGAAGCCCTTGGGATACATGGTTTCACCACCGGCTAACCTCTGTTCTCGCAGACAAATCCTAGGTCTGCATCCCAACCCCAAATCAAGACCTGATAGAAACTGCGAAGGTAACCTTCTTTTCTTCACACCTGATCTCTATTTTAACTTGTACTCAGATATGACATTTTTATCTCTCAAAATTAGCTCAACCTCCAATATGTTTAAATGATTTACTGTATGTTCTGGCAGTGTGATACAAGCTTTAATCAAACAGTGTGAAAAGCTCAAAGCATAGTGTCCAAGTTTGCTTTTCTCTGCATGAACTAATCTCATAAGAGGCCAACAAGTAATACACGACAGAAGTCGCTGGTGCTGCCCGAAAAGCTTAAGGTTCCACCGAGATTTGAACTCGGATCGCTGGATTCAGAGTCCAGAGTGCTAACCATTACACCATGGAACCCCTTGTAGCGTGGCCTTTCAGGGATTGTATACATTTCTGCTATTCCTATTCTACGTGTCCCCTTCATCCTGTCATTTACAAAAGACAAAACAAAACAAAATTCGCTTGCCCTGTGGGATATACCGGACACCACCATCGAGCACCTGCAATATGAATTGAGATGTACTGTCAGCTTCTAAACACAAATCGTATTTAGAACACTTTGTACTTAAAATTTCATTAATAATTAAAATTTTTTTGGTTACATGTTAAAATAAGATTTTGTAATATTGGGTTAAGTAAAATATATTATTAAACATAATTTCACCTGTTTGTTTTTCCTCTTTTTAATGTGGCTACTAGAAAATGTAAATTCGCATGTAGGGCTTTCCTAGGTATTACTGCTCCAAGACGTTTCTACTTCCCCTCCGCTGTCATTCAAGCTAAATCCTAGCCCACTAAATATAACTTCCGTTTGAAGCCCGGTAACTGTATTTTTGTTACTTTTTTCCGTGGTTTTGGTGGACGGAGAGCATTGTAAGTGTACCCCAAAACAAATCTATCGTCACAGGCTGAAAGAAAACTAGGACGCCCGAACAGGGACTTGAACCCTGGACCCTCAGATTAAAAGTCTGATGCTCTACCGACTGAGCTATCCGGGCTCTCGCACCAGCTTTCCTCTCCTACCTATAAGTTTTCATGAACGGAAGTCCAGTCTCGCTGAACAGAGAGAGAATTGTGTGTATCTCTGCGCAGGGGATCTCGGCACAGATCTGAAGGAAGAGGGTGAAGCCCTGCTGTTGCCGATTGGACTTTCCACGCCTCCTTTCCTGAGAGCCCCGCCGAGGCTGGGACGCTGGCGCTGGAGAGTCGCGGAGGGTGGAACCACGCGGTGCCAGGACTGGCCGCGCGGGGCCGCTGCGAGCTACGGGCTGCCCTCGCCAAGTTCCTCGTGACCTAGATCCCGGGCACCTCCGGCACCCCGACTCCCGCCCACCGTTCTGCAGGCCGAGGGCGGGCCAGGAGCGGGAAGAATGCCACATGGGCCCTCCAGGTGCTGTGCGCCCGCACTCCACTTCAGTCCCCTTACCGGTCCTATTTCCAGGGACAGACCAAGGTCGGGCGTGCCAAAGGCTGGGGACAGAGCGAAAGCTGAGGAGGAGGATTTGTGGGGTGACGGGACAGCTGCTCCGGGCCCCCTGCTCTGTGCTGGGATGCGGGTGCCACTCGCCTGCTTGTGGCTGTAGTCAAGTGTGACTTACGGCCCGCGCGCGGCTCACCTGTGTATAGTGAGTCACGTGGATGACTCACATGTAGGAATGTGGGTGTCGTGCCCAATTCTGGCTGGAAGAGAGGAGGAAAGGGTCCTGGGGGAAGTTGGGAAGTGGGTGGACAAGGGGCCTAGAGTATCAGTCGGGCCCCTGACCAGGAGCACGGCAGTGTCCCAGTCATTCAGGCGCCACCTCCTCTCTGTCTCCATCCCAGCATCTGGTCCCTCCCTCCACAGTGGAACCCAGGCTGCTGATATCCATCTTGGTGAGCCAGCCAGAGGAACCGGCTGTGCCAGCGACAGGCAAACAAGTATTAGGGTGCAAGACTGTGGGCGGGGAGAGGGAGCCCGAGCCGCCAGCCTGGAGCTTCGTAAGGAGAGCGCCCAGGAGCATCCCAGAGAGAGCTGGGCCCTTCCTCAGGCCTACCCTGTCCCCCAGCGCCCTAGCCCTCCGCCCAGCAGCCCAGCCCTGCCCGGCCTTCCGCTTCCCTCCTCCAGGCTCACAGCCGCTGCTGTGGCCCGCGTTGCCCGGGCGTCCCCCCTTCCCTCCCATCATGGCAGTGTATCGCCTATGTGTGACCACTGGTCCCTACCTGATGGCTGGCACTCTGGACAACATTTCTGCCACACTGGTGGGCACGTGTGGTGAGAGCCCCAAGCAGCGGCTGGATCGAGTGGGCAGGGATTTCGCGTCTGGATCGGTGAGTACAAAGGAGAGAGGGAGGTGTGACCCAGAGGGACAGGGCCAGCAGGGGACCCTGAAGGAGAGCAGGATTGTTCCTGCTGGACTCACCTAGTTCTGCTGGGCTCAGGATGCCGGCCCTGAACTTGTCACCATCTCTATTGTGGTCCCCGTCTTTTCTGGGGATGATAAAGCCTATCCAGGCAGGGCTGTGGAGAGGAAGCAGCACTGGGCAGGGCTCGTCGGGACACCTCTGCTGGTTTCCTAGCTCCTCCTGTAGCTGGTGGCTGGCTTTGGGCAAGTAGCTTCCCTTCTCTGAGCCTGGCTTTCTGCCTGCCTTTGCCAGCCCCCTGGGATTGTTTGCTGGTGGCCTACACAACGGTGTCCAGCCGGCCAAGGAGGCTAGTGCAATCCAGCACCCACCCTACTCACCTACCGTGCAGGGTGCCTGCTTCTACCTGGATGAAGGGCTGCCTTTTGCTAACCTATACAGTGGCATCGTAAGGGTCCGTGGCAGCTCAGATTTATATGCAGGGGTAGGTGTAGACCCACCTTGCAAGGCGCAAGGACGGCCCTGGCCGTTTCCTGCCTCTCACCTGCTCGCTTCCTTGGTCCTCTCAGGTACAGAAGTACAAGGTGCGCTGCTCAGCAGAGCTAGGCGAGATCTTGCTGCTGCGTCTGCACAAGGAGCGCTATGCTTTCTTCCGCAAGGACCCCTGGTACTGCAGCCGCATCTGTGTCACTGCCCCTGATGGTACCGTTTCCCACTTCCCCTGCTATCAGTGGATTGAGGGCTACTGCACCGTGGAGCTGCGGCCAGGAACAGGTGGGCCCCAGGCGAGGGCTGTGCTATACTAGGGAAGGCGGCTTTTGGGATTAGGGATGGGGTCTTACAGAGCCCAGAGTGTAGAGAATAGGGTTGGTGTTAGCAATTCTGGCCTCTCAGGTAGATGCTTTCTGAACAAAGTGTGCCTCTAAAGCTTTGAAGTGCAAGGGCTTTCTGGCAAGTATTTATTATTCTGGAGACACACATAGACACACACACTCATATAGACACTTTCTCTCTGTCTCACACACACGAAGCAGTTTGCTTTCCACAGCCTCCGTCTGTTCTTCCTCAGAGTGAAATCCTTTGAAGTCCACAGAGGAATTAACCTGCAAGCTGGGTGATTAGATTTCAACAGGTGGAGAAGCCCCAAATGTTTGGAAAAGTTAGCTGGAGAGGCCCTGTCCCCTACTACTAGCTTTTCCAGTGTGGATGAAGTCCCTGTGAGGTGCTGTTAGGATATCTTGTTGAATTTGTGGGGTTTTTAAGGATGCTGGGCTCGAGCCCCTTCAGCCTCCAGAGCTGTCTGATCCTAAGAGGCAACACTAAGGCTGCTCTGAGTGTTGAGATAGGTCCCAGGGATGACAGATGGATATTCTAGGTCAAGGTGAGGCGTCACTATGAACCCCCATCCATTTTCACAGCACACCCGTCCATAGCTTCCCCAAATTATTTTATTCATCAGTGATTTATCAAATGCACCATGCCAGATGCTGGGAATACACAAAATGAATCTAATGTTATTTCCGCCCTTAAAAATTTTATAGTCTGGAAAGGAGACAAACATGTAAACAATTAGAAAAACTATTTGGGGGTGAGGTTGTCTCAAATCACTTCTACTGATGAGTGCATGAAGAACATGGGGCATCCCCATGTGATTCACATGGATGTGGCTGTGGGATTGAGTTCAAAGGTTAGGGGGTTCAGGCAAGGTTTGCTGGAGGAGGTGTTTGAAAAGAGACTTATAGGAAGAGTAATTTTTATTCCCCACAGCAAGAACTATTTGTCAGGACTCCCTTCCCCTCCTTCTGGATCACAGGAAGCGGGAGCTCCAGGCCCGACAAGAATGCTACCGGTGAGGGGGCCCTAATTTGACTTCTTTGCTCATCTTTATTCTGACCTCAGCCTTAATCAGATTGTTCCTAACTCTGACCTCAGTTCCAACCTTGGGAGTCCAACTCCGATCAGGACCCTCATTTAAACCTAACCTCGGGCCGGCCCGTGGCTCACTTGGGAGAGTGTGGTGCTGACAACACCAAGTCAAGGGTTAAGATCCCCTTACTGGTCATCTTTAAAAAAACAAAAAAACGTAACCTTATTCTAATGGTGACCCTGAGTATGGACCCAGAATTCCAGTATCAACAATTATCCCAATGCCATCAATGAATCCATACTCAACCCCTGACCATTCCTGTTGTAACCCAGATCCCAATATCAGAAGTGACCCTAGTAATCACCAATTTCAGTTCATCCTCAACCTCAACCCCAAACCGGCCATGATCTTAATCTTAACACAACCCCATATGTAAACCAGCATGGGCGTTAATGTCATCCTCAAATGCTACCCTGATCTAAAGCCCAGTGCCTTCATGGAGAAAATTCTAATTCTTTGTCACCTACCTAGATGGGGGTGTTTTCTAGAGTTTTAATCTGAAGTCATGTCTTTAAAAGCTAAGGCTTTTGTTTATCCTGAGCTTGACCTGCCACCTCTGACCATTTCCCTTGGAAGCTGGAAGATCTATGCCCCTGGCTTCCCCCGCATGATGGACGTCAACAGCTTTGAGGAGATAGAATCAGACAAGAAATTTGCCTTGACCAAGATGGCCCCTTGTGCAGCCCAGGGTGAAAGGTGAGGCCTGAGGCTTGGGAAGGAGGCGGAGGGGAGTGAAGTGGAGGGTCTGTTGAGAGGATGGGGCCCGAGCAGCCTGGAAGGAGGTGTCGGGGTCTGTAACAAGTGCAGTTTAATTTAAGCATCAGGAACAGAGGGACTGGAGATGGCCCTGAGGGGCCTGGCAGAGAACCAAGAGTAAGGAGGTTGTTTCAGGTCAGGAGCAGAGAGGGCAGCAGAGGAGCTGGGTGTGAGGGGAGACCTGGGGACCTTGAGGGCAGGACAGGGGGAAGGAACTAAGGGGAGTGGGCTGCAGGTCTCACTGACTGGTTTCTGTCCTTCTACTCCCCACCCCCCAGCAGTGGGAATCGGTACCTACCCGGCTTCCCCATGAAAATTGACATCCCGTCTCTGCTGCACATGGAGCCCAATATTCGCTACTCAGTCACCAAGACGACCTCGCTGCTCTTCAATGCCATCCCTGCGTGAGGCCTCTGCCTTTTCTGCATTCCCTCTCACTGTCCCTTTGCCCCTGCCCCTTTGATGCACATCTCACCTCTCTACCACCAAGTCCCCCTCCCTACCCCCCAGTCTCCCTCCCTGCCCCTAACTCCCCCCACCGTCCCATCTCCCAGTCTCTGTCCCTCACTCTCCTATCTCTCTCCTTAGGCTCATCATTCTCTATCTCCCCATTGCCTTCTCTTTCCTCCTTAGTCACTTCTTCTCTTTTTGTTCCTCAAACCAATAACATTAATTGAGCACCTACTCTGTGCTCTGGTGGGACCATTTTGAGTAGGACAGAGAGGCCCAGCCCTCAAGCATTAAGGAGGTAAAGTCAGATGACCTTGTGTTCAAATCCCAGAACCAATACCTTCTAGCTGTGTGACCTTGATTTTCACTTAGTTTCCTTTTTTTTTTTTGGCAGCTGGCCAGTATGGGGATCCAAACGCTTGACCTTGGTGTTACAACAGATGCTCTATCCAACCGAGCTAATCGGCCAGCCCTATTTTCACTTAGTTTCTAAATAGTTTCCTCACTTGTAAAATGACAATAATATTCATAGGGTGTTGAGGAGAATGAAATGAGATGACGCCCAGCAGAAAATAATTTCTCAATAGATGTTACTTACTAGTAGTGTTAGGATATAGTCTTTGGTGTGAGGAATTCACAGTATCATCAAGGAGGCATGTGGGCAGTTAATTAGCAATCAGAGGGGTCATTAATAGCTCAGGTCAACTGCCAGGGCTCTGTGTCATGGCTGGAGGAGGGAGTCCAGTCCCCTGGGTGCCTAGAGAAGAGGGGGGTCAGCTGGAGCCAGGAGGTGGCTCCTGGGGAGAGAGGTGAGATTGGAGCAGACCTGGGAGAGGAGAAGAGGTGAGGGGGCAGTGGCACGTGGAGGCCCCAAAGGAGGCCAGGGCAAGGAGCTGGGTCCCCATACATGCACGGAGGGATTTGTTTGGAGAAGGACTAGTGGGAGGGGATGCGGAGGTGGGGTGGGGCCAGAGCTCCCAAGTGGCTGCGAGAGATTGGAGTGAGCAGGCAGCCACAGGTGGCTCAGGCTTCAGGACAAGGACCCACTGAGAGCCCTGGGCAGGACTGTGGGGCCAGGGGAGCATTTTGGAAGACAGAGGCCTCTGGCTTGGTTCCTGGATGTATATGCAAATCTAGGCAGAGGAGGGCCCAGGAGACCACCGGGACCACCAGCACAGGGCTCAGAGAAGGAGCAGTGGGAAGAGGAAGCTGGTATTTGGAGGAGGGGGTGGTAGCTGGGGGTTAGTGTGGGGCGACTGCAGGCCCTTTGAAAGGGAAGACCTTTCCTCTCCCCTGTATTTGCCTTCACAGCCTCTGCTTCCATGGTTGGCTCCCGCCCAGTTTCCCATCTCCTGGGTTTTGATCAGGCAGGTGCTCAGCAAGTGTGTGTGCAATGAGTGAGCAAGGGTTCAGTGAGCACAGGTGACCTGTCCCCGGGACTGTCGGGTCATTAATCCCCCCGGTCACTCTGCCTTCCCCAAGGGCCTACACTGTGCAGGGCGCATCAGCATCTTTACACAGCCTCCCTTGCAGACCAGTCGCCACACACCTACCTGTTCCATGTTCCATTCCCACTCCTTCGATTCAGCTCACTTAGGGAGTGCTTGTTACGAGCTGGTATGTTGGCTGTACAGAGCCGTGTCCTTGCCCTGCGGAGCTCATAGTCTAATGGGGGGTGATACACGTACACTGGTTGATGAGCGTTTTGTGATAGATCCATGGTGTGTATTTTGGGGGGGATCGGGCAAAGCTTCCTTAGGAACTTTGCATCTGAGATGCGCCTAGAAGAACGGATAGATTTTATAGTAGGTAGAGATGTAGGAGATGAATTTCTAGGAGAGACACAGCTTGAATGAAGCCCTGGAAGTGGGGGAAAGCTGATTTAATTGCAAGCATCTTTTCTTGGTTATAAAATAACACTTACTATAAAAAATTCAAATAGTATGTACCTTCACAAAGTGAAGAGCACACACCCCTCAGCCTGCCAACGCCACTGTTAGCAATCCAGCATGTGAAGTACGTCTCTGGTTATGTTTGGAGAGCAGGCCTTGGCTGGCCATGTCTAGAGCACAGGGTGGGAGGAAAAGCAGGCAAGGATGGTAGACACAGGCTGGTGGGGAGCCTCATGGGCTAGCTGGGTTTGGCAGCTGGGATTTGTCCCACGGGCAGAGGGGAGCCAGTGACGGTCTATGACAATATGGAAGCTTGGAGAAAGCAAGCCAAAACACCAGTGAGGGTGACTTGTCTGCACCATGGGGCCATCCAATGGTAGACACAGGCTGGTGGGGAGCCTCATGGGCTAGCTGGGTTTGGCAGCTGGGATTTGTTCCACGGGCAGAGGGGAGCCAGTGACAGTCTATGACAATATGGAAGCTTGGAGAAAGCAAGCCAAAACACCAGTGAGGGTGACTTGTCTGCACCATGGGGCCATCCATGTGCACCACCTTTGCCACATGGGCAGTTACCCCTCCCAGGGATGGTTGAACCAGGGACTTCCAAAGCTACAGGAACTCCCAAGGCTACAGAGCCTCAATTGGGCATTAGGCTTTTCCCCCATGTGGAGTGTTAGGCACCTCCACTCCGGTGATTGACCCTGTAAATTCCCTCCAGCCTTGGGGGTAATACTACATGGTGGCCCTGAAAAGACCCCAGCCCTCAGACCACACCCCCACTTTCCCCTTTCTCTCAGGTCCTTGGGCATGAAGCTTCGAGGACTGCTGGACCGCAAGGGCACCTGGAAGAAGCTAGATGACATACGGAACATCTTCTGGTGCCACAAGACCTTCACTTCAGGTCTGCAGAGTCAGGCAGGAGATTTGTATACTTCACCTTGCCCCATGCTCAGACCTCTTCTTCCCCTTCCTGGGCAAGGGCCCTCTCCCAGTCCTCCCAGGGGGACTGCTGGATTTAAAGTGGAGTGGTTCCTGGTTTCACTGGTGGCATCTCCCAGATTCCCCTCAGAAATACAGTCACCTCCTCTGAGGAGGGGACAAGAATAGGAGAGTGAAGACAGAGACAGTCTGCTTGCCTGGGAGAGGGTCATGGTCATTTAGGGAGTCTCGATCATGATCAGGAGCAGGTGACTCTCTTCCCCTTCTCCTACCACCAAGCATTCTGGGCTTTGGGGCCAGAAAGGCTTAGGTTCAAATTCCTTCTCTGCCATTCAACGGGGCAAGTCACTCTATCTCTCTGATCCCCAGTGTCTAGTATCAAATTGAAGATGTAATTATAACTACCTCATAGTGCTGCTGGGAGGAAAACCTAAACCACAGTGATAAGCAAAGGTCTGGGCAGGGCCAGGATCTAGGGAAGAAGTTTCCAGACCAATTGGTTCCCTCTCTTGTCCCCTCAGAGTATGTTACAGAGCACTGGTGTGAGGACCACTTCTTTGGGTACCAGTACCTGAATGGCGTCAATCCTGTCATGCTCCATTGCCTCTCCAGCTTGCCCAGCAAGCTGCCCGTCACCAATGACATGGTAGCTCCCTTGCTGGGACCGGACACTTGCCTGCAGACAGAGCTAGAGGTGGGTGAGAGCCTCAGCAGTGAGCGTTACAGGAGGGAGGTGGGTGAATTGCTATTATGAACAAGGGATGTGTGTGGAGGGGAAGGGTGGAATGGCCTGGGCTGCATCCCATCTGCGGCCTTCTCCTCTGGGCAGCCCTGGCCCTGCACCTTTTATGTACAGCAGATGAGGGTCATATGGGTCTTGGGGTGGTTTGAGGCTGAGATGGGTCCTGGCGAAGTGGTATGAATGAGTAGGGTGGCCAAGGGACGGCTTGGAGGAGGCCCTACTCCTGTTCTGGGGCCTCCAAGATCCTAGGTGCTGAGGCCCCGACAAGGCTGTTAAGGACAGACCAATGGCAGGGCTACCAGATATAGCAGGAACAGTCATGGAGGACTAGGAGCTCTGAGGGTTTGGGGGTAGATGACTCAGTCTCTCCAGGGCAGCCAAGCTCTCAGGCATTCTCCAGAAGGCTGGAGATGTGGTTGGTTAATTCTCATTGTGTGTTGATTTTGCTGTTGGATACCTGGAGTCCATCTGGCTTGAGAAGAGTGGGAAGGACCAGGTATGGGGGAAGGGGGAAGGAGGAGAGGACGCTGGCTTGTTCAAGCCTGGAGGCCAGGTGAGAGGTTGCACAACGAGGGACTCAGCTGGACCTCATTCCGGACATTCTGGGGAGGGTGGGGTACCCAACGGTGGCCATCCATGCAGGCACTAAGAATTTCTGAGTCCTGAACTGGGGACGTCAGCTCCTCCCTGGGGTGGGAGTGGGCAGAGGAGCGCGGTAGGAAGCCTCTAAGCCTCTGTGCGCCTTCTGCAGAGGGGGAACATCTTCCTTGCGGACTATTGGATCCTGGCGGAGGCCCCGGTCCATTGCCTAAACGGCCGCCAGCAGTACGTGGCCGCCCCGCTCTGCCTGTTGTGGCTCAACCCCCAGGGGGCGCTGGTGCCCGTGGCCATCCAGGTGAGCCTGGGGGCGCGGCCTGAGGGGTGGGGCCTCAGGCAGCCTTCCATCAGTCTTGAGCCCCACCCTTTATTACTCGGACGCAGCTCAGCCAGATCCCTGGGCCCGATAGCCCTATCTTTCTGCCCACTGACTCCTATTGGGACTGGCTGCTGGCCAAGACGTGGGTGCGCAACTCTGAGTTCTTGGTGCATGAGAACAACACGCACTTTTTGTGCACGCATTTGCTGTGCGAGGCCTTCGCCATGGCCACGCTGCGTCAGCTGCCGCTCTGCCATCCTATCTACAAGGTCCGTGCAACTCCGGGAAGGGACCGAAGGGGGCGGGGCCTGGGCGGCCTTCTCCCCGGACCTGCGGCTCACGTCACCTCTCTCTCCGCCCGCAGCTCCTCCTTCCCCACACTCGCTACACGCTGCAGGTGAACACCATCGCAAGGGCCACGCTGCTCAACCCTGAGGGCCTCGTGGACAAGGTGCGGCCTCCCCGCCGCGTCCCTGGGGCCCCGCCCCACGTCCTGTTCTGCCCCGAAGTCCATTCCACGATCCCTGCCGGCCTCTTCCCACAAGCCCCGCCCCCTCCCCCAGTCCCTACCGGCCCCGCCCACAGGCCCTGGCCCCGCCCGCCAATTCCAGCCACGCCCCCACCCGCTCCGGCCGCGGTTCTACAGGCGCGGCAGCTCCAGCCTCAGCGATCCCCGCCGCTGACGCTGCGCCCAGCCAGGCTCTCGCTTCCCCCTCTTTCAGCTCATTCTTTTAGTTACCAAAGACCTAAGGATCCTATGCACGTAGCAGGGCCGCAACCTGCTCAGTCCGCGTCAGGCAGGCCCCTAGGGTGTTCGATCCGTGGTCGTGGACTGCTCGATGAACCGAACAAGCCCCTCCCTGGACCGAGTCCTAGTCCCCTCTCATCCCCAGGCACTGGGGTGGGGGTTGGTCCGGCCCGGAGCAGAGCTGAGCTGTGTCTTCAGGTCACGTCCATCGGGAGGCAAGGCCTCCTCTACCTCATGAGCACCGGTCTGGCCCACTTCACCTACACCAATTTCTGCCTTCCGGACAGCCTGCGGGCCCGCGGCGTCCTGGCCATCCCCAACTACCACTACCGAGACGACGGCCTGAAGATCTGGGCGGCTATTGAGAGGTGCGGGCCAGGACCCTGCAGCCCCTCCAGCCCCACCAGGGCCTCCTGGCCTTGGGGCAGTGTGGGCCCAGTGCTTCAGCCAGCTGGGGCTTCCAGGTGTTCTCAAACCCCAACATAGGGAGTTTCCGAGGGTATGAATTGGGGCTGGAGTCCCCTGTGAAATGGTAGGTAGCCGTGGGCTAGGGAGGAGCTGGGGCGTGCGTGAATGCAGTGGAAGAAAGGAAGGAAGGGGGATCCGGAGGGGTCAGAGTATCAGGGCTGGTGTGGCAACTGGTATGGCCTGGGGCAGGTAGATCCTCCTGGATGCCCAGCAGGGAGGGGGAGGACGAGGGCGCAGCACAAGTCACACTCCCCCCTGGCCCCTGTGCGGGAAGGAGACCCAGAGCCTCCAGGACCCAGAGGTGGGGAAGCCTGGGTGCTCAGGTTCCGGATGGATATAGGCCTTCCCTCCTGCTAGCCTCCGTGGACTCTCAGTGAACTCTGCCTCTCCGCAGCCTGGGAGGCAGTGGGCCATGGTTTTCTGGCCAGGTCTGAGCTCAGATTACTCCAGTGGTACCAGCGTCTCTTTCCTGCAGCTTTGTCTCGGAGATTGTGGGCTACTATTATCCCAGTGATGCATCTGTGCAGCAGGATTCAGAGCTGCAGGCCTGGGTCGGCGAGATTTTTGCTCAGGCGTTCCTGGGCAGGGAGAGCTCAGGTATCCCCTCCCCATCCCCCTGCCACAGGCTCTCCATTACCCAGCACTCACCACCCTCCCCTCCCCACCGCACCACATTAATCAGTTCCTATTCATTGGTCAGCCTTTTAGTGGCTGAGGAAATAGACCCAGAGAAGGCTGCAGAGGCAGGATTCAGAGCCAGCTCTGACTGTCTCCAAAGTCCTTGTTTTCAACCACTAATTGTGCCGCTCTGTTCCCTGGACCTTTACCGAGCCCATCCACTCGCTTCAGTTTGCTGGGCTCTATCATGTGCCATATCAAGCAGTAAGAGCCATCTCTGATTTCAAAGGATTCTGGAACTTTCTCTCATACCCTCTGATGCCTGTCCTGCCAGGTGGTCCCTCCAGCCACCAACCTCTCTTCACTTGCTTTGGCTGCAAACCTCTTCATGCAGTGGGTTAGTCTTGCTGCCGCCCGATCCCTCATTTGCACTTGTCACCTAACCTTACCTCTCCCCTCTCTTCTGACACTGCCTGAGAGGCCTCTGAGACCATCAACACTAGCAGCCCCCTTAGGCTTCCCTTCCTTAACCTCAGTACCAAGCGGATGCCCAGATCCCCCTTTTTTTTTTTTTTTTTAAAGTCTTCCCTTAGCTCCAGGGAGGATATGTCCTTCTGACCCTCTCACTTCTTCCTGGATCCCAGCAGTCTCCCATCCCAGCTCTTGGCTTGTCCTGGATCTCTGACTCCTCTCTTTACCCATTCCAAATGGAATGAGTCTTTCTCCTGTTTACCTGTAGCTGGTTTCCAGACTTGGAAATCCCCCAAACCTCCACTCCACATTCCCAGAAGGACTTCTCTTTTTGCTGTCTCATTGTCACCCTTAAGACCAGCACATGAAAATGACAAGTCGTTCCTCTATAGAATGGCTTCTGGCCTTGCTTGCGTTATATCCCCTATCACAAGTCTTCTTGGCCCACTTACCAGGTGCTACAGTATTACGCAGTCTGTACTCTAGGCACTCAAGTATGTAGATGAGGCCTCTGCAACTGGGTGTAGTGGAAGAAAAGGAAAAGCTCCAAGTGGCACAAATCTCCATCCTCCAGCCCCCCAGCCCTGGCCTGGGACTCCTCTCAGCAGGGATGTGGCTTTTAGCCGACTTAGTGCTTCTGGTGACCACCCAGAGGAGTTCCTGAGGAGAACCAGGGAGGAGGGACGGTGTCAGGTCACCTCCAAATACAATGAACAGCTGTTATGGCCCTACCTATAATGGGCTCGGAGGCTTTTCTTTTCTTTTCTTTTTATTTTTTTAAACAAAAAATTTTCAAACATGCAGAAAAGTAGAGTACAGTATAATGAACACCCATTTAACCAGATTCAAAAGTTGCTAACTTTTTGCCATATCTGACTAATCTGTTGATTTTCTTTATTGCCAAAGCCTTTGAGTCATCCTAGTTCACCCCTAGTCAATATGCATCTTAAAAATGACATTTTTCTACACAACCACAATACTATTATCACAATTACCAAATTTGACAATAATCTCCAATGTCACCCTTATATATACTCCATATTCAAATTTCCCCACTTGTCCCATTTTCCCTCAGTTGATCCTACTGGTTCAGGAGCCAATCAAGGACCACATGATGTAGTTTTCTCTTTTGGTTTTGACTCTAAAGTCTTAACTTAGAATGGCCCCTCTTCCCCTCTGCTTTTTGCAATCACATGACACAGACTTACTGAAGAGCCCAGACTAGTTGTTCTGCAGAATGTCTCATCTTCTGAATTTATCTAATTGCTTCCTCATGATGTCATTCATCTTATTCCTCTATCTCCTGTGCTTTTTGTAAAATGGAAGTAATATCTGAAGGTTAAACGTTTTTGGCAAGAATATGTCTCCAGCGATGCTGTGTGCTCCACATTGCAACATATCAGGAGGCCCAAATGTCAAGTTGTTTCACTATCAGTGATGCCAAGGGTGATTTCTGGGTTAAGGTGGTGATAGCCAGATCTCTTTTGGATTTTCTAAAGGGTGACCCTTCCCCATGTTTTGCAAACCTACAGTTAATCATGAGCAATCCTGATCCTGACTGCTCCTCCCGCATAGGGCAGTTGGTTCATATTTGGGAGTGTCTTGTTTCCTATTTAAGACCCAGACGGGGGATCTCATTACTGTTGGTTCAACTCTCCTATCTTACTTTATTAAACTTGTCTCTGATTTAATACATCAGAACATTCTTCAGATTGACAATAGCTCTTCCAACCAGTACAAACTTATCCTAGATTTACATATTTAAAGGCGAAACACACTTGTTAATCGCAGTTAGTCTGACTTGGGCTTGCATTTTCTAAGGGGAAAAAATACGATATTAGCTACAGAAAAATTCCCATAGATAGTCTGACCCTTGCTTTAGTTTTTTATTCCCAGCCTCCAAGCTTAGACAATCAACCAGGAACAGACCGTTCACAAAGTCCCTGCACACTCCAGGGCAGGGGCCGGTGCCTCCTCCCAACCTCTCTGTCTGTTCTGTTGCATCAGCCTCTCTCTGGTCAGCCTGTCTCCAAACCCTGGAGCCCTCTTTGACTCATATTCCCCTCTCTGTCTTCCTAAATCTAAATCCACTTGGGTGGCTAATCTCTACTGTCCCCATCATTCCTCATTGTCACCACTCTGAGTCCTCCTCACGGTGTTCTTGTGTTGTGGGACCTGCCTCTCCACCAGTCGCTCCTCTCCCACCTCTTGCTGCAGAGCCACCACCCCGCTAATCCTCTGAAATACTGCCCAGAAACCACATGGCCCAGCGCACTGCTGCAGCCTCACCTCCAATTAGGTCCCCTCCCTGTCCCCTTCACCTTGCTTATGCCCTATGCCTTCCCACTCTGGCTTCTTACGCTCTCATGCATTCCCTTCCTTCAACCAATAATTACTGGGTTTTTAATATTTATTAAGTATTTTTCTAGGTGCTGGGGTTTAGCAGTGCACAAGGCAGACAAAAATCCTGTCCTTAATGGAGCTTAACATTCTTTTGGGGAGACAGAGATAATCAACAAACAAACAAATACATCAGGTGGTAATGAATGCTAAGAAGAAAAACAAAACAGCATCAGGGGATATAGTGTATAGACATAGGGGACTATTTCAGGTCAGTGGTCAAGGAAGACCTCTCTGAGGAGCTGATGCTGGAGTAGAGACCTGAAGGAAGTGAGGGAGCTGGTTCTGTGGACAACTGGGCTGAGAGTGAGCAGGCGGAGGTGTGATAAGTGCAGAGGCCCTGAGGTCTGAGTGTGCTGGTGTGTTTGAGGAATATCAGGAAGGCCTGTGTGGCTGGAGTGGAGCAAGTAAGAGAGAGAAAGGTCAGGAAGGAAATGAAGTCAGAGATGAGGCTGGAGCCAGATCATGTAGGTCCATGGTAAGGTGAGTGAGCTGGAAGCCCTTAGAGGGTTTTAGTGAAGGGCGACATAACCTGACTTATGATTTCAGAGGATCACTTTCACTGTCATGTGAAGAACAGGCTGTAAGGGACAAGGGTGGAAGCCACAGGATTCATCCAGGAGAGAGATGACGGAGACTGGGTAGTGGTGGAGATTGAGGTGACGAGGAGAGACTGGCTTCTGGAAATCTTTGCTAATGTGCATGATATGAAGTAAAAAAGGAGCGAGTGCATAGATTTTGGCCTTAGCGATGGGATAAAGAGTACTAAAAGGGAACTGCTGTGGGAGGGATGGGTGCGGGGAGTTGATGGGGTAGTTTGGCAAGGCTTTGGTTTTGCACATGCTCAGTCTGAGGTGCCTTGGAGACACTCAGTGCAGATGTCAGGTAAGCAGCTGCAGATTTATGCCCACTGCTGCCTCTGCAGTTTAGGAGCCAGGCACAGCAAGAGATGTGAATTTGGGCATTTTTGGCTAGTGGGAGGTGGTTAATGCCATGGACTTGGATGAGACCAGAGAGGTAGAGGGGGGAAGAGTCCTGAGGGCTGAGCACTGGAGCTCTTCCTCCAGCCCTGAAAATGCTTTTCTCTGTCATCTTTTTTCATCTATCCTTTAACTTGGGAAGGCCCCTTCTTGTTCCTCAGGAAGGTCTCCCCCAATCACTGTAGCCCCAGTGCCCATTTCTTCTCTACCTGTCCTCTCCTCGAAGAGCCAAGCTCCAGCCTCAGATGCTTCCTTCTGCTTCCATCACCATGAGCTTTCAGTAACATACTCTGTAGTCATCTGTCTCTGCTGCTAAGACCAGCAGGATGGTCCACTAAGGGAAGGTTGGATACATCTTGGTGAATCAGGCAGAATTAAATCATTGAGTGAATATGAGCTGCAGACAGAAGTGCCTTGGGGATCAGGGAGAGGCAGCTCAGCACTAGCTTGACCCGGCTCTGTCATGAACCCTGTGGGGCAAGCATTTTCTGGTCTAATCCCAGCTCCTAGCTCCATTCCCGACCCCCTTAAGAGACCACAAACGTTGATGTGACCATCCCTAACTTTAGCCCAATCTTTATCTTAGTCTAAAGACAGTCATGGGGCCGGCCTGTGGCTCCCTTGGGAGAGTGTGGTGCTGATAACACCAAGGCCACGGGTTCGGATTCCATACAGGGATGGCCGGTTAGCTCACTGGCTGAGCGTGGTGCTGACAACACCAAGCCAAGGGTTGAGATCCCCTTACCGGTCATCTTTAAAAAAACAAATAAATAAAGACAGTCATGGTCAAATGTTCAGCCCTTACTTTCTCGTGTTCCCCCTATAGTGAGCCCCAGCCCTGAGCTGCCCCTAGGAATCCAGGGCCTTCCATTCACACCCTCTCTGCTTCCTCTCCACACCCAGGCTTCCCAAGCCGGCTGTGCACCCCAGGAGAACTGGTGAAGTTCCTCACTGCAATCATCTTCAACTGCTCCGCCCAGCATGCTGCCGTCAACAGTGGGCAGGTGAGGCTGCCGAGGGCATGCCCGGAAACATCGGCCATGCAAGGATAGGCTCAGTGATGGACTTGAGGCCAGAGATGAGGTTGAGAGCCTGGGTGGGTCAGGGTTGGGGGTGGTTTATGATTAGGATTAGAGTTGGAGTGGTAACAGGGTGGAGTGTAGGGCTGGTGTTGGGTGATGACTGGGTGGAGATGGGTCTAAGTTTGTAATGGCAACTCAGGTCAGTGTTATGTAGGGAGTAGAACTTATGGGCTCCTGTCACGGCTAGAACCTGGTCAGGAGGAGTATCAGCTTGCTCCGTGTGGCATGCCAGCCCAGGGCTCTTTTCTAGGATTACCTCCTGTCTGGTCCTCCTCCTCCCCTGATGACTCACTCCACCCAGTCCTAGAACACTGGGTGGGGAGTGACAAGGAGTGAGCTGGGCTCCTGCCCCACTTCTGGGACTTTCCACCCTCTACCCCTTCCTCTCTTCCCTTTCCATGATCCCCTCAGTTCCCAACTGCAAGACCTGAGATGGCAGAGGTGGGATCAGGGATGACGAAGAGGGAGCGGGTCCTCTCCCTTTGGCCAGCTGACCTAACCCCAGGGTGGGGGGTCTCCACAGCATGACTTCGGGGCCTGGATGCCCAATGCCCCATCATCCATGAGGCAGCCCCCACCCCAGACCAAGGGGACAACCACCTTGAAGAGTTACCTAAACACCCTCCCAGAAGTGAACATCACTTGTAACAACCTTCTCCTCTTCTGGTTGGTCAGCCAAGAGCCCAAGGACCAGGTGTGTATGGGGTGGGGGAATAGGGTTCTGCAGAACCAAGCAGTGGAGGTGGTGGTGGCTGTTCCAGGGATGCTTGGGGACTGACTGCTGGGACATATGCCCATTGCTGAGCTGCCTTAGGTTCTTCAGTTTCTTCAGGAAATGATCATTGATCCCAAAAGACGTACATTAAAGCAAATACCAGTTTAGTGGCTGGGTCACAACTTCTATCCAGTTCAAAAGTTTACCAATCCATCTGTCCATCCATCCACCATCCACCGTTCATCCATCAGCCACTCCTGCATTCATTCAAGCATTCAACAAACATTTGTTGGGTACCTCCCAGGTGTCAGCACAGCTCTGGGCACCAGCCATATAACATTGAATGAGACTTTCCTGCCTTCAAGAAGCCTATGGTCTAGTTGAGGAGACATACAGGTAAATGAAAAATGGCATCACAGTGTTGTAGGAATTACTTATATATGAATTTCTCCCTTCAACACGTACTTCCTGAGCACATATGGTGTGCCAGACATGGACAGGCAGCCACGGACCTTGTCCTCATGAGCTTACAGTCTGGTGAAAGAGGCAAGGATGGGGCCTGTGGAACCTAACTGGGTCTGGGGGAACTCAAGAAGGCTTTTTGGAGGAAGTGACATCTAGGCTGAACCTGTGGGACGAGTAGGAGTTCGGCAGACAAAGGAGGGGCAGAGTTAGTTTCTAGGCAGAGGGAAGGGTAGGACCCGGGAGTGCAGGTGCAAGTTCACTGGTGTGTTTGTGGGATCACAAATGGTTCAGTGCAGTGAGCTAGCAGGGTGGAGAGGAAGGTGGGGCTGTGTCTGCACAGGATTCGTTCAGAAGACAGTGGGGAGCCACTCAAGAGTTTTCAGCCTGAGGTGACATGGCTGTATTTGCTTTAGCAAGGGTGTTCCTGTGGCTGTGTGAGTGAATGAAAGGGCCAATTTTGGAGGCAGGAGGACAAAAAGGAGGCAGTTAAGTAGTTTAGGTCAGGTGGACAGCCCTTTAATCACCAATTACCGTCATCTCCATTTACACATTGTGTCATCATTCATGCTTCTGCCCTGCTGGTCTTGCCCACAAGTTCTCTGACCTGTGAATATACTCATTTCTCATGCTTGACTCCTTTTGGTGCTAGAGAGATTGCAGATGTTTTTTCTTCCTAGTAAGGTTTAAATTACCATCGTATGTCTTGGGAATGGTGGGAACTTGTCCTTGGGTCCTGCCCCTTTCTGGTCCCAGATGGACAGAGTAGACAAGAAGTTGAGGGTCGGGGGTTCTCTGCTCTTAAGCCATGGAAAAGTTTAACCTGGAAGCTTATAACAGCAATCAATAGCTATAGACAATTCTAATCAAGGAAAAAATGAGAGAACATAAATATACAACGTTAGAAATGGGAAAGGGGTGGGGTTGGGAGGAGGCAGAAGGAGCTGCGGTGGGAGCGCTTTGGCCTCCTGTTCAGCCTGGTCTCCCGTGGCTTTTGACTGTGCTCTCAGTCGGGCACCATGGGGAAGTGGGACAGTTGGGTGGCCTATATGAACCCAGTAGCAATGGCTGGATCAAGGGGCTCAATGCGGTCTTCAGGGCCAGCGATCCAGGATTATCTGAATCGACCAAGGCCTACATGGGAAGAAATGAAAGAGCAACTAGAAAAGACAAAGAAAGCTCCAAGTCTTTGGCTGAATTTGAAGAAAAAATGAATGAGAACTGGAAGACAGAACTGGGAAAACACAGGGAGAAATTATTAAGTGAAAGTGAGAGTGCAACCAGAAAAAAGACAGAGAAACGTTCCCTTATGAAGAAAGTGCAGTGTCTAAGGAAATTTCAACTTTGGAAATTATGACATATCTACTAACATGCATGAATTTTCTTGTTTTTAGAATTATTCCTGGGCCATTTGGTAGCCACTCAGATGCCACTGTATGCAAGGGCTGTAATTGGTTTTTGCTGCTTGAACATCTATTTTTTCTCTTCCAGTGCTTTATGACTCTGGGAGATGATACACTGCAGTCACACTAGTGGCTAAGCTATTTGGGAATAAAGTTCATATTTTAACTAGTATAGTGTCTAATAATAAATCAACAGAAGTTAAATCTGGAAACATCTTTATGATATAATCAGAAATGACCAGCTGACTCTAATTAAAACTTTCAAAGTAGGGATTATATTGACATTTCAAAATCCTTCCTCCGTAGATAAGTGTATTTTAATTTTTTCCCCTTGTATGCTTTTATTTGCCTGGGGAAGGAGCTTGGGAGTGGGGTGCCTATCTCTTTAGCTGGCAGAACAGTGTGGCTTTGATACTTACACGTCTTGTTTTTGTGGACACAGTGACCATGCTTCTGGGGACGTCAGAGCTGGGTCCCAACAGTCTTGAGCTTACTGAGCATAGTGACATCCTCAGACTCTACCATAGGCTGCTTTGAGTGAACCAGAGAAACAGCCCTTTGCAGCATCAAAAATCCTCCAAAGCTCTGGGATTTGCCTCTACGTCAATAACACTGAATATTTTCTAGCATTAGAATGTGTATGTCATTTGAACTCATTTTGATTACACTTCAGCTTTGGAGAGGAATTGTTTTAAATAGATACTGGTACTTTTTGAACTTGACAAACCCAGATTCTAAAATTCATGTTTTATATTAAGTTTTAACTAGTCAGGAAAATTTTATGTAACCAGTGATAGTTGCTTTGTTTTTTATATGAATTTTGTTTAGCTTTTGATAACTCCTTACTCTTGCTGTCTTAAGTTAATTATTATGTTTAATGGCATACTTGCCAAGATATTAGCATGTAAAATGCAGAATTTTGACCTTAAAAAAAAAAAAGCTTCATTTTGAAGCTGAGACATCATAAGCAAGTTGAGAGGCATGTCTGGTATGCTGTGTCTTGTTACATATAGCTATTACCAGAATCGCTATAAGTACAGTGTTTTAAAAGCTTGTTGTCGGGCCGGCCCGGTGGCGCACTGGATAAGTGCGCCGCTTGGGAAGCTATAAGTACAGTGTTTTAAAAGCTTGTTGTCGGGCCGGCCCGGTGGCGCACTGGATAAGTGCACCGCTTGGGAAGCGCGGTACGGGGGCAACACTGAGGGTTGCGATCCGTTGCCGGACACGGAAAAAAGACAAAAAAAAAAAAAAAAAAAAAGCTTGTTGTCTTTGTATATTAATAACAAATTATGGCAAGTTAAATTTAAGTGAGAATCAAAAAATAAATAAATAAATAGGAAAGGCAGACAGGCACAAATATGAGAGTACTTCAAAAAGTTCACAGAAAGATTCATATTATCTTTTTTTTTTAAAGATAACCGGTAAGGGGATCTTAACCCTTGGCTTGGTGTTGTCAGCACCATGCTCGGCTAGTGAACTAACCGGCCATCCCTATATGGGATCCGAACCCGGGGCCTTGGTGTTATCAGCACCACACTCTCCCGAGTGAGCCACGGGCTGGCCCTGTATTATCTTTTAATTCTATTTTTCCATGAACTTTTTGAAGTACCCTCATACAGAGAAGATTTTTAAAATGATGAGAAAATACTGCTTACAGTTTTATGCAAACAAATTTGGAAATCTAGATGAAATGAATGATTTTATAGGAGAACATAAACAACTAAAACTTAACTACAGGAGAAAAGATCTGATCTCTACAAACTGTCAAGGAACAAATAATTCCTAAATCATTCAAACTGCTTGAAGGTATAAAAAAAGGTAGACATTTCCCAGATCATTTTACTGGATGACAGAACCCTGATATCAGCACTTGGCAAAGGCAGTGCTCTTAAGAAGGAAGGGGGATCTCATGTAGAAGGCTCCAGTCCCAGGTCAACACTTACCACCTATGTGGCCTTGGATGTATAATTTGGCCTCTGTAAACCTCAATTTCCTTATCTATAAAGTGGGACTCATAAGAGTACCTGACTTAAGGGTTGTCCTGTCAGGTGGCTCTGGAGGGCAGTGACGTTGTGATGGTTACATAAGGTACTTACATTTTAGCTGTTATTAAGAAAATGAAATTATAAACTTGTTCACTTAGCTACAACAATCTTGAAAATATATCAGCCAATGAAGGCCCATAGTGAATAGTAAAACAACAATACACGATGACAAAGTCTAGTTTATTCTAGGAATGAAAGGAATGAAAGGTTGGTTCAACCTTATGAAATCTAGCAATATAATTCATTATGTCAGTAAAGAAGCATACCATATAATCATCTTAACATCTGCTGAAAAAGCATCCGATAAATGTGAGCAGCCATTACTAATAAAAACTCACTGCATAGTGAAGCCTCCTTAAGGACTTTTGAGAAAAAGCATATTTCAGAAAACAAAGGAAAACACCATATTTACAGTGAAAAAATAGAGGTCTCCTCATTAAAGTCAGGGACAAGAGGATAATACCCACTATTTAACACTGATCTGGAGGGCTTCACCAAGGCAATAAAACAAGAAAAAGAACTTTCAAAGGCCGGCCCGTGGCTCACTCGGTAGAGTGCGGTGCTGATAACACCAAGGCCATGGGTTCGGATCCTATATAGGGATGGCCGGTTTGCTCACTGGCTGAGCGTGGTGTTGACAACACCAAGCCAAGGGTTGAGATCTCCTTACCGGTCATCTTTAAAAAAAAAAAAACATCAGCAGTATTGGCAAGAGCTACGTTGTATAAAGTTATATTAGCTGGGGAGTGTGTGCTGGTTAAGAGCCTGGGCTGGTGCGGTATAATGGTAACTGGTTGTGTGATGTGATCATGGAGGGAGGGACAGTCCTGTACACAGGACACATTGAAGTTCATTGTGATATTTCTTGATTGTGTTTGGCCATGCTGTAAATTGTGACAGCATATGGTGATGGTGATTGTTGGCAAAAGTTCCATTATGTTGGTTGATTGTGAAGATGCCTCAGAACCAGGATAATGACTGTTTTCAGGATTAAATTTCGTGAAATTGGGAGGTAATAGGTATATTCTTGGATAAATATTTGCTGGAGTGTGTTTATGTTGATCTCAGTTGTGTGATGAATGTGGCTGTGTTCTTTTGGTTCAGACAACAGTGGATCAAGCAATGGAAGGGACCTTTACAGGTTTTCTAGTTCAACCCATCCACTTTCAGATGTAGGAACTGAGTCAGAATAACACGCAAAGGGTTACCAGAAGAGGGAGCACTGAATTTAAATTGCCTGGCTCTTAGGTCTATTTTCTAGTTCAACCCATCCACTTTCAGATGTAGGAACTGAGTCAGAGTAACACGCAAAGGGTTACCAGAAGAGGGAGCACTGAATTTAAATTGCCTGGCTCTTAGGTCTCATTCTGTCCCCTGCACTGTGTGGGCTTTGGGTGTTGGGGGTGCTGCTGTCTATCAGGCTGCATGGAGTGGTGGTTTGAGGTTGTGGCTTGAAGGGTTTGTGTTTCCAATGGCTGTCACTGGGTCTTACCTTTAGAAGCCACCTAGACTGTATTTGCTGGCACATGTGGACTTTCATTTATTCTCCGTGCCATCCTGAATGTCATCCTGACCTCTCCCCCAATTTTCTCCCAGAGGCCCCTGGGCACCTACCCGGACGAGCACTTCACCGACGAGGCCCCGCGGAGGAGCATCGCCACCTTCCAGAGCCGCCTGGCGCAGATCTCCAGGGACATCCAGGAGCGAAACCAGGGCCTGGCACTGCCCTACACCTACCTAGACCCTCCCCTCATTGAGAACAGCGTCTCCATCTAGCCCCCTCCTCAAACCATCACAAGAAAAAGAAAGATCAAACCATGAGCAGGGCCAGCTTCTCGGGGTCCTCCAGACCCTTCCAGCCTCCCTGTTCTCAGTCAGCCCCACCCTTCTCCTCTGCAGTGTGGACCTTCTCTAGCTAAGACGGTTTTAGCATCTTATGAACTGGTCTCTGGGCTGTGAGGGGCCTGTACCGACTGCAGCATCCAGGGACAGAAGCCGCTGACCAAAGTCAAATGCACAATAGGCCCCTCTGAAAGGAAGGAGCCCCTTCCCCCTTGCCCTACTCTGGGCAGCCTCCAGTTCCAGCCTCTTGTGGGAATCTACCTCCTCTCATTGGGATGCCCAGCTTGGGTTTCTGAGCTCTCCCTCCCAAACTTTTTCTCCTACCTGTGCCTTTTTGTTTCCCCTTCCCTAGTACCAACCAACCCAGTTGCCTTCTCTGGAAGAGTGTGGAAAGAAGGGATGTGTGCCTGGATCTGATGTGTGGTCCCCTTTGCCCCTGGCATCTGTAAGGGGAGCAGAAGAGTCAGAGCCGGTTCACCTAGACCTCTAGCTGCAGTTCTCAGGGGTAGGCTCCCTGGCCTGGACGTGTATGTGGGGATCTCTCTCCAGCTCTCATCCTACCCACTTTCACCCCATTTTTTTCTTTTTGTCCTGGAGCCCAGCGAGTTCAATAAAAACCAACGTATTTGGCTCCCACTTCATTTTAATGTTTTGGTGTGTGTGTGGGGAGGTGAGGTGGGGTGGAGGGTGCCAGGGAATTGCAGAAAGTGGGAGCCACCATGAATCCATGGATCAGCTGTTCTGCAGACAGGAAGTCTCCCGGCTCATCTCGCCACCTAGCCACGCCATGTATTCCTGCCTTCACCTCCAAGCATGTCATCAGGAGGTGAAGGAATATTTGACTTAAGGGACAGATAGGAAAAATGTGGGTATTTTGCAAAGCCTCATAATCCAGCTTCTGGGCGTGGTAGTTGTCAGTGTTGCCAGTGAAATCCAGTTCTTCTGGAAGACTCAGCCTCTGGCCCTCTTTGGATGGGCAGAGTCACAAGATGCACTGTGACCATGTCAGGAGGAGAAATGATGTGGGTCATCTCCAGGCTGGTGTGAAGACCCTCCGGAGTTCTCTCTTCTCCCGATTCTGGAAGCACGTGCTGAGGGATCAGAGCAGAGGCTGCTGCTGCCTGAGTTGGACGTAGAACTGAGTGAGAAATAAACTTTTGCCATGTGAGCCATTGAAATGTTGGAATTCTTTGTTATTGTGGCAAAAGCTAGCCTATGTTGACTGAAATGGCTGGTAAGCTGGGGAGTGTGATTTTCTCCCTTTCCACCCCACAGCCCTTACAAATAGAGGTTTGTGCAGCCCTCATTCAGGCACCCATGTCTTCTCTCTCCACAGCCACCCAACACCTTCCCGGTTTCCTGCTTCTCTAGACCTCAGATCCAGCCCACCTTACCTCTTCTGCTACCGGAGTCAAATTCTGTGCCTGACCAAACACTGGTCAGGGCCTCTCTCTATCCAGAGTCACAGTATCTTTGAACAATGACAGGGTAACTGTTCCTCCATCTATGGTGCTGGTGGCAGGTGAATCAGATGGCTTCACACTACAGTGTCAGAATAACCAGTGACCTCCCCCCACCCATCACCCCCCACTCCCCTCCCCACCTCCACTGCCTCAGAGCCTCATAGACAAGGGCTTTGCTGGGCTGCAAAATCTCTCGGCCCCACTGTAGACCATCAACAACGTCTGCTCCTCCAGTCAGTGGGGATCTGCCAGCTGCCTTAGCCTGGGCTGCCGGCATCAAAAAAAACAAAAAATGCTTGTGGTACCAGCACAGCTCCATGGAAAGCTCTAGGTGTAGGGCTGGCCCGTGGCTCACTTGGGAGAGTGCAGTGCTGATGACACCAAGGCCACAGGTTCGGATCCCTATATAGGGATGGCCGGTTCGCTCACTTGGCTGAGCGTGGTGCTGACAACACCAAGTCAAGGGTTAAGATCCCCTTACCGGTCATTTTTTTAAAAAAGAAAAAAAAAAGCAAAGCTCTAGGTGTAACCACATTTCCTGCCTAACTAAATTGCCAACCCAGAGTGCCTGCTATGTGGAAATTTTGGAGCAGCCACTGTCCCACAGACCTGGGAAAACACACTGTGTTTCCCCATCCCCTTCCAGCCCAAGAATCTTCTCCCTGTTCAACCAACCCCTTCAGGCTTTGCTGCAGTGTGTGCACATGCTTGCTCATGAGCGTGCTTGTGTGTGAAAGGGGGCAGGGGGGAGACTGGCTTTGGCTGTTGGATTTTCACTTCCTGGGTCTGTGATCCTGGGAGAAGAGGATTCCCACACCGTTGTGCACAAAGAGGTGTGTTTGGGGAATCTCACCTGCAGATCCCAACCTAAGAATTTAGCATAAATCATCAGATTTTGTTCACCTTAGAACAAAATCAAAGGAGTAAGAAATACCCAGAAGTGCCCTCTTGTGGCCAGCAGGGCAGTGGCCGAGGCTGGAGGGGTGGGCCCCTTCAACCCTGGTCTTGACTTGGAACTAGCAGCGATCAGGGCAGGGCAGGGTGGTGTGTCCCCAAGAGCATGAACACTCATTGGCTTGCACAGACGTAGCACTGAAGGCAAGCCCATCTTAAAAATGCCCCTGAACCAGAGAGGGAGGGACCAGGGTGGATCACTGGAATCTGTTTTCCCAGAAAGCCAGCTTGGAGAGGGATTTATTGGGGAGACATACTTGGCTGCACAGAGGACTTCTGCTCTGACTCTGGACAGCTGTGGGACAAGACACGGGGAAGGGGATCATGACGAGTTGCGGGAGCCCTGCCAGGGGTCTTTCTGCAGCTTGTACTCTGGACCCCTCCATGGTTTTTGGTCAATCGGAAAGGCTGACTGGTATGGCCCTCTTTCCCCAACTGGCTTGAGCAAGTCCCTCCTCCTCCGGGGAAGGGGATCATGACGAGTTGCGGGAGCCCTGCCAGGGGTCTTTCTGCAGCTTGTACTCTGGACCCCTCCATGGTTTTTGGTCAGTCGGAAAGGCTGACTGGTATGGCCCTCTTTCCCCAACTGGCTTGAGCAAGTCCCTCCTCCTCGGTGGCCCAAACCTGTCAGATAAATGGGTGGCATGAGAAGACGTGGAAAGTCCCTTCCAGCGTTGACGTTCTAGGATCTGCTTGCCTCAGGACTGGTTAATGGACACGCAATTACAGCCAGATAGGAAAAATTAGTCCTACTGGAGTACAGTCAACTCAGGAATCTATAATTAACAATGATTTACTGCATGTTACCGAATGACTAGAAGAGAGGAGCTCAAATGTGCACGTCACAAAGAAATGATTGGGTTTTGCAAGGATGAATATGCTGATGGCCCTGAATGGATCATCACACAGTGTATACACATATTGAGATACAACTCTGTACCCCATAAACATGTACAAGCAATATGTTTCAATAAAAAAATTTTTTGTCGACTTCGGGGAAGTGGCTATGAACCCCCCAGGCACAACCCCTGCTTCCACCGGCTCACAGGTGGTGGAGAGACGACAATAAACACATAAACAGATAATCCTTTCAGGCGGTGGTGAGTGCAGTCGGGAGATACAACCAGGGGTGAGCAAGTAGGCTGGAGGTGGGGGTGGGGACAACATTAGGTACGGTGCTCAGGTCTGAGGAGGTGACACTTGAGTTGAGACCTGGATGACAGGAGCAAAACACTCTTGAAACAGCTTGGGGAAAGGAAAGAAGTTACAGACCAAGGATGGGGCAAGTGCAAGGGTCCCGAAGGGCACATGTTCAAGGAAAAGAGAAGGCCAGAGCGGCTGGAAAAGGTGTCAGGTCATGCACGGTCCTGTCAGTCTGGGGAGGTCCTTCGATTTGATTCTAAAGACAGCACTGGTTTAAGCTCTGGTGAATTTTAAGCAGGGGAGTAACCCAATTTGGTTTTTTTTCTCTGTGTCCTAAGGGAATGTGGCCCCAGGAGTTGCTCCCTGCTTTGCAGGGCTTGGGGTGGGGCAAGGCGGTGGGGGCAGGGGTGCCTAGCAGTGTGGACCTGGCTTCCTGCGTGGGTGGCCTGTCATGAGCCACCCCAGCAAGCGTGCATCCTTCCCAGGATCCTCTCCTGCTCTCAGGGTCCCACCCCTGGTCCAGGAGAACCTGTTCTTCAGCCCAATGAGCACCTACCAAGAGTCATGTGTCCACGTTTTGGTCGTAACTGGGGAGTGCCCCATTTACATCCTCATGTTAATCCCTTCCATGGCCCCAGCCACATTCACATCCCCAGTATCCCCACCTCCATCACTATTTCCCTTGGGAACGTAATTCCCACTCCAGACTTAAGCCCTTGTCAAACCCAGAGCTGCCACTCCTGCTTTTCTGGGAGAGGGATTGGCTGGGGGGAGCTCTAAGGATAGTGGGTTGTGACTTGCAGAAGCAGCTTTTGGGGGATGGAGGTAGATCTCGCCGCTGTGGTCATACCCATCCTCTTCTACACTTCAGTCCCCTTCTCTGTTTCCCCAAAGCCCTCTCCTACCTACCCTGTCCTCCAGGCCACTTATGTGCCCTTGCCTGCTCCTCGCCTCCACACAGAAGGATCTTACCACTGGATTAGAAAGGTTAAGTGTGGGCCTCTCACCCAATATGCCCCAGGACTCTGCATCCCAGAGGGGCCTGGCAGTGCAGTTTTCCAAGACCCTGAGCCTCAATTTGCCCAAGCCAATGCCTGGCTCCCTGCCAAGCCTTAGCAGCCCCCTGGGGGCACAGTCTCCAGGGAAGGGGAAGAGCATATAGGAAGCAGGAGGCTGGGAGAGCTGTATGGAATTTGCATCCTAAGATTGCAAATTTGCATCTTGAGGCTCCCAGTGTGCCCCAAGAGTCATTGGAGTGACTGAGCAGAGCCCAGGAAGGCGGGCTTGACCGGCCTGACAGCTCCTATCCTCAGCCTGGGACAGTATTGTGCCCAGGTGATGAGACATTCCTGCCAGTCAGCCAGAGCTCAGCCATGACCCTCATCCTGAGCCTTCTCCCCTCCCCAACCCCATCCCCCATCACTTCCTGCCCTTCCCTTACCCTTAACCCAACCGAGCTCTCCTCTCTGAATCTTCATCCTAATTCCAAACCCATGGGTGGTTCAGTCCCCAACCCCGACCTTCTTCTTATCCCTAACCCTTCCAACCCTCATTACTAACCCATCCAACTGTTAAGATTCATGTTCTGAGAGTCTCTCAGGTACCAGGTACTATGCTAGGAGATGAGGAGAAAACCAAACCAAATAGTGGACTGTTTAACTGACTAGGGAAAATGGACACCAATCAAAGATGTTAGAAGCTACAGTGCTGTGAGAGCTATTAAGAGTTAAATTTGGCCTTCCTCGAAAAAGCAATTATTGAGCTAAGCTCAGAGAGAAGAGGAAGCACCAACCAGGTCCAAGACGTAGAGAGGGAACAGCATGTGCAAAGGCCCTGGGGTGGGAAGGAGCTTGACCTCACTTCTTTCAAGTCTTTATGCAAAAGTCCCCTTCCCAAGGAGCTCTTTCCTGGCCACTCTATGTCTAACATTTGCTCCCTATACTTTATATTATCCCTCCCTGCTTTATTTTTTCTCTTCAGCATTAATCACTATTTACCATACTGTTTAATTTATTTGGTTGCTAGGTAATATTGTCAATTTCCTTCACTGGAATGTAAGCGCTGTGAGAGCAGGGC